TAAACCAGTTATTGCCATTACCTTAAATGCTGAACATTAAGCTAAACCACGCTTAAATATATCATGATCGCAGTGATACACGAGGCGATCACTGTGGTACATCGGGCGATCACGTCGATACACGGGGGTGATAACGGTGATACACGAGGCGATCACGGTTATACGAAGGGTCGATCACGGCGATCTCGGTGAAACAAAGAGTGATCACGGCGAAAAAACACAGTGATCGCGTTGAAACAGGATGTTATCAAAGTGGCCATCACGAGGAACATTAGGTGATCACGGCCATACATGTGGCTATCACAGCGATAGGCTGATACACGAGGTTATTGCAGTAAACCACGGGGCGATCACGGCGATACAATGGGTTATCATGATGATTCACGAGGCAATCTCGGCGATATATAGAGAATAATACATGCCTTTTTCCATATCACAGTATCAACCCGAGACTGCAATATCAGCGCGAGGGCCGAAGGCCCGAGGGCTGATATTGAGCGAGGGTTGATACTTTGTGTGATATGGAAAAAGGCATGTTTTATTCTTTTTATTACATACTTACTAATAAAAGCTACTATCTGATCTATTTTGCTTTTGAAATATTGAAAAATGAAAAAAATTCAAAAGGGGTGTGATACGGGTTTTGCGGGCTGATACGGGTTTTTGGGGTGTGATACGGCGGGGGCTGATACGGATTTTGGGGTGTGATATCGCGAGTGCTGATATGGGTTAGAGCAATTGTGTCGTATAGCATATACAAAAAACCCGTATTTGTTAGTAAGTATGTAACAAGAGGCCCAGAGGGCCTGTATCGCTCACTTGAATATCAATGTAATCATGGCGAAATATTCTCCAAATAAGATCCAAAGGAATGGGCCAGACCCCAGGACAATCCTTGTATCCTGTCTGTATTAGATTTTTCATGCCCAACAATGTCATGTATGTGTGAGGGTGGGACAGACTCTGGAAAATATCATGACTGCATTCGTCTCTTTATGCCCAACAATTGTATATACAGTTTGGGGGTGGGGATCTCAACCGTTTCAAAGTTATGACCCTGGGACTATGTCTCCAAGGGTGTGGCCAGACCCCTGAGCAATCCTGGAAACATATGTGCATTCTTCTCTTCATTCTCAGCAATTGTATATATGGTTATAGGGTGGGGATCTCAACCATTTCCAAGCAATAAACTAGTTTTTGCCCCACCCTTTAGCCAAGGGGGGCAGCCCCAATACTTGTACAAATTGAATCCCTGCCTCCCATGAATGCTTCCAACCAAATATGATTGATATCCAGTACATAGTTCTACAGAAGAAGTCATTTATAGCAATAAAGCCAAATTACCCTTTTTGGCCCCGCCCCTCAGCCCCCTGGGGGTCAGCCCCACCATTGGCCCCGCCCCTCAGCCCCCTGGGGAGTCATTTATACCATTTTAAAATCCCATTACCTAGGGATGCTTCCAGTCAAATATGGTTGATGTCCATCTTTTAGTTGTAGAGAGGAAGTCGCTTAAAGCAATATAACCAAATAACCTTTTGACCTCGCCTCTCAGCCCCCTTGGGGGTCAACCCCACCATTTGTACAATTTTGAATCCCCACTACCTATGGATGCTTCCAGTAAATTATGGTTGATATCAATCTCTTAGTTCCAGAGGAGAAGTCGTTTAAAGCAATATAGTCAAATTGATCCCTTTTGGCCCCGCCCCTCAGCCCCCTGGGAGGTGAGTCCCACCATTTGTACAATTTTGAATCCCCACCACCTAGGGATGCTTCCAGTGAAATTTAGTTAAATTCCAATCAGTGGTTGAAGTCGTTTGAAAAAATTGTTGACGTACGGACGACGGACGGACGACGGACGCCAATGTATGGCATAAGCTCACCTTGGTCCTTCGGACCAGACGAGCTAATAAAAGGGGTGACCAGGATGATTCATGCGGTTATTACTGCAAAACGCGGGGCGATCACGGTGATACACGAGGTTATTGCAGTAATACACACGACGATCATGGTGATATAACGAGGGTTTCAAAGTGATACACGTTGTGATCACGGTGAAAAACGTGTGATCAAGAAATAACAACAGATGTAAATTTCGTGTTACTCTTTTAACTTCATGCTAAAGTAGTGACCCAGTGCTATGTTTCCAATTTTTCGGGATTTTTCTGGCGTGGAGTTGTTGCCCACTTACAAAGGCAAACAAATAATATATACCAGAAATATATTTCTCATTTCATGTCATATTCCCCCACACCATCTAGTTTCTTCTTTGAGGATTACATATTTATACTCATCTGCAACATTACTTGGGGTTTTTCTCCCTAAAATATTGAACATAGAGGAAATAACCTTTATTTATTTAACAGGAACATAACTACTGCATAGTGAAGAAATGTCCCATTGCCTGGATAAAAGACGAATTTGAAAAGATGTAGACATCGTAGTTGATGGTATAAATATGTTGTATTAGATACTTTTGGTCCGTTCTGGTTCTCTCGATTCATGATATACAGTGAGTATTCATAAGGAAGTTCGAAACGATAAAATATCATATTTATGGCGATTTAAAATGTCTAAAAAGTTGTTAGGATGCCATATCTGAATCGAATTTGACGAAAATGTCAAAAAGAAATATATACAGTACTTACATATGTATTACAACAGAATGCTTATGTAAGTGCCCACTATACCAGCAAACACATGGCAATAAGTCGAATATTTATTCAATCATCCACATTTACTACATACGATTATTACTTGGCAATTCACTAACTGTATTTGCCTTTAATCACAGAGATCAGCAAACCTCAGCCAGACAAAAGGTTATTTTGTTGCGAGGAGAAACTACATTCAGTTCTTACATATATTTTTTTATCTTTGAGAACACATCTATGGCCAACGACTGTTGTATCTTTCTGTTATGGTGTAGCCCCAGATCCTGTTCAAGTCCTTTCGAGTCCCATTTTCTATTTTGAATTACATGTATTTCTTTTGTAGTAATATTCATAAATATAGTATTCCTCCACACAACATCTATCCTGCAGGTTTAGGAAATAAATAAGTCTGCTGTAGATTTGTTTTGTTTGTCTTTTACGTCCTATTAACAGCTATGGTCATTTAAGGACGTGCCAGGTTTTGGTGTTGGAAGAAAGCCGGAGTTCCCAGAGAAAAAACCCACCGACCAGTACCTGGCGACTTCTCCACGTAGGTCTCGAATCCGCATCCCAGTGGTGGAGGGCTAGTGGTAGCAGAATGTCAGACGCCTTAACCTCTGTACTTGGCCACCGCGGCCCCGCGACCCAGTGGGGGAGGGCTAGGGGTAGCAGAATGTCAGACGCCTTAACCACTGTACTTGGCCACCGCGGCCCCTAAGTCTGCAGTGTCCCACTGCATGATCCAATGATGCGACTGATGAGGAACTCCTGCTGAATCAGTATTTTTTTTTATTGGGACATTGGGAAACCAAACTTGAAATGGCGCACTGATTATTTATTTTTTATCTTTGTCAGCTTTTACCAAACTTTACTGGTACCCACTCCACGGCGTCTCTGTTGAATCAGTTTACGCAGCTCGGATCTACCATTTCCAGTTATTCCAATATGACCCGGTAACGAAATAAAGCCGAGGCGACCGTACATCTTAGTTTAAATCAATTTTATTGCAACAAAAGACAAATGGATTGGACAAAAGTTATTGCAACTTACTTACGTCCTTTCCGTAACAGAAAATATATATACAAAATTAATGAGTCACGTAATAACCTAATACAATTCATATATGTATATATATATAAGATGTTAAAGATGGGTAACAGCAAAAGAGGTAATGATAGGATTAGGGACACCAACGTATAGTTTTTAAATATGTATTCGGAGAGTTTACTTGAGATCGCGTGCGTGATTTTCCCAATCAAGTCGGCGTAAGCAGTATAACTAATCTATACATACATGTCCTTCTACTTTTCTAAAGTTCAATCACATTCCGTGCCGCATTTGCCTTTCTCCTGTGTCACTCCAAGTCCTTTTGTGAATTCCTGCCTTACATACTTAGCCGACTAGATTAGGAAAACCGGACACGCACTCTTTGTCATATGGAAACGGTTATGATATTGATGGACGCTAAGATTGAAGTTAGTACACAGAGATCGTTGGTGTTGGAAAAAGGGAGAGGGGCTGGAATAAGAGAGGAGGTGGAGGGGAGAGACAGATGAGAATAGTCGAAANACACACACACACACACACATTCCATGACATGCATGTGTATATACATATTAGTGTAATTTATAAGCGTGTACACATGAGGTTATATGTTCGGGAAGAACAAAAACAAATACACATAGACAAACGAAAACACATCAGCGCCTAGCCTAATAACACCGTTAGAGAGAGAAAAAGATTCATCTGGCATTGTAATGAAGACCGACAAAGAACGTCTTTGCACCAACGCCTACACCAAAAATACATCTAAACCCTGTCAATACGAAGGTTAATGTTTTGTATGGAGGTTTAATACTTTGTAATAGTGTTAACGAGCACGAGCAGATAATTGCTCTTTTGATTTTGTTTGTTTTCAACTTGATCTAACGCTAGATAAATTGCAATTGCTTCAGCTAAGAAAATAGACGCATTATTAGGTAATCGATGAGAAGATGTATTACCAACAACTTTCTACTCGACCTTAGATCCGTCGATATATTGAAGAGTATGGGAAGGACACTTACAGATGAACGGGGGGATTTTTAGATTTATCATTTATATGCAATACTAAATTTACGTAAGGTTGCGGAATGGTCCATGGTGGAATTTCAGGTATGCTGTCAACTACAATTGATGAATGACCTAAATCTGAATTTTCAATAAGTTTTCGACACAACTTAGGACCAAAGGTATCATTCATACCAAGTTTTATCATTATGCCTAAAACAGGTTTTTTAATTGAGGCACAGACGCATTAAAAGACGGAAGACATCTCAAATGTCTTTTGAAAAAAGTCACAAAAGAAAATATCATTAGTATTCTTTATTGCCAATAATGCATGGAATATATTCGTATTTGAATAAATAACTGAACAATCTTTTCCCCTTATATATATATATAAATGATGATATACATGTATATTAGTACAGGGTGTCCGCTACACACAATTCTAAGTAATTTGCAACAATATATTCTCCATAACAACAAGTAAATGGGTAACTTGCAGGACAATTTACAATATACATGGAACAACGATAATATTGCATACATGGGTAACAATCTTTACAATAGTAACAAGTAGAAATTCCTCCACATCTATCCCCGTGTGAACAAGACCTTCAGCCAATATCCGCACTAGGGGGCACTTGCTCATTCCGCCAACAAAGCCATTCTTATACAAAATTGTAGCACATATACATGTATATAGCTAATAAATTTAACATTTACATCATCTTCTGCCTAATAACATACTTTATAAATTGGTACTGTTATCTGGCCAAATAGTTTATCTAGCTTAACTAATGCCAAGCACCATACAAATTTTCCGACAATAAACATAGTAAACTAATATGGAACACAATTAAATTTGTTTTAATTTCTTAATCTTTGAAATGTGAATGAAGTGTTTGTGAAATTTCTTGACTTAAATAGTTTCAACAATTTCGTCATTAATTGAAAATATGACTGATCAGCTTCAAACACCATCCAACATCAAAATTTGTATGTTACACTGCGAAGCAAAATATTCATCGCAACCTTGAAGGGGAGATAACTCTCAATATAATTATTTACAGAATATATATGAAAAAAAAATCTAGAACTTTTCTACAACATGCAAGCTTTGAGCTTCTTTGGAATTCTTTAGATTTACACAGGCATCGATTGTTGCGATAAGCAATGTTATTTAACCTGCATATATAAACTATTTTGTAGAATTTTTACTCCATACCAATTAATCTTACAAATGGGTTTCAGTACAGGTTGTATCAGATACCCTGAGACAACAGCATGACACCGCATCGTCAATATCAAATTATCTCCGGACTTAGAGGTAATATTTGATCTGCCATTTTTAGACAACTCCCACAGAGCACAGTCAATGCACAATGAACACATGTTTTAAAGGTGAGACTTCGCCACATCTGTGCGACATTTATCCTAAAAGCAACAAAAAACTTCATAAAGTTTGGCCAACAGGAACATGCTACAAATTCACAATAAAGAAATCAGAACCAAATAACAAGTACGAAAGTTTTTGACGCAAGCTGTTCATTATGTAACTAATTATAATGTAATTCTACATATTTCACAATAACCCCATTCTATGTAATACCTGGAGGGACACACGTAATTACATCACTTCTACATGTGTCTGTAAAGGTAATTATGTAAGTATTTTGTAAGAAAAATAATTAGTGTAACAATTTGTAGTAACAATTCTGATAGGACTCTAGGCTGATAAACATGACATTCAGGTCTTTAAGATGAGTGTGTCACTGTGTCCAGACCTAGCCAATCAATGGTAAATCTAGACTTACAAGCATTTATCTACCATGTAAGTTACTCAAAACTGTTGACAAGTCCATCAGCCATTAAGTAGATTAGCACTATAAACGTTTTTTAATCATCTCACCATATTCCGGATCATATTCATAACCTCCTTTTTTTCTCTTCTTTTGTCATCCACAAGGTTTAATACCAATTTTTTATATTTTTTGCTCTCCACATTCAAGATTTTACTAAATCCAGTTTTTGGGTTACGATGCCCATAAAAAGCTTACTTTTTGAAAATGTTCATCTTTTAATAGGTTTGTTTTATCTATCGATATCATAAAACATGTATTAATACGTCTAAATGAATTACGCCTTCCTTGATACCTTTGACAAATCTAACTATGAAACAACAGAAATACATGAACAAATTTTACCTGTATCGATGAGAAAAGTTTCTTCAAACAATTCGAGTCTGATGTACAAACTCTGTATATCACTAGTTTTACTATTGTGACTCCTTTAAGGCATTACCCCTAAGGGGCCCTTTCACCACCATAGACCATCATGGACTCATCCATATCAATGCATGGTAGAGTCTACGACAGTTACATAGGGGTGGAAGGGTTAAGTAACAATGACGTCCACTAACAAATCCATATAGAGAATACAGGGTATGTAATAATTTACTATTTATGGGCCTCATTTTAGGAAAGAGTGTACACACATTTACATCCCATCAAATAAGCCAATAATCCATTCGCTCATTTACACAAATTACAGTTACCTATCGCAAATGAGAAAAAAAGGCTGGATGCACTACCATATCAGTGCACTAGGTTTTTTCCCCCTTATTTGCAAAAGGTATCGGTATACAAACTTAACATAGTTACATGCCACTGGTATCCTCGTATGGTATCACCATTAAATCACATGTTCTCTTCAATTCATTTTTGCAAAATTCTGCTTCAAAATTCGTAAATACTTTGCATACCAGAAAAAACTTTCAGAATAAGTTTTAAATGGATTCTTTGCATAATAACTATAAAATGTTACTTTTTGAAAATATTTTTTGAAATTTGAAATAATGGATCATTTTCAGCTCTATGCTAACCTGAGTAATTTGAGATTCTTATGTCCTTTGGTTCTTCGGAAAACAATTCATCATTAATTCACGGAAAATAATTTGTGAACAGCTTTGAGACGACCTACGAACTAGGTTGTGATAAAGCGGTATATAAGAACCTCGAATTATTAAATCAGGTCTTATGCCAAATGATAATATCTACCGAGGAAACAGTTGCGTAGACAATTTCTGATACTAAACACTTTTTGATGTTTTAAAAAACAAACCAGTAATTTTCAAAATTTTGTAGCACTCTGTTTTGTATAACAAATCTCAGTACCTCTTCCACATAATTCAAAGAAAATAAATGTTTACAAAACTACAAATTAAAAATTGTAAAATTGTGCACAAATCTCTCAACTGTCTCCCCACTGAGGAAGGATATGTCTGATCGCTTATAAAGCAGTCTTCATTCTTATCCTTTACAATGAAATACTTCTGCGCTGTCCTGTAAGACAGCTGGACAGGTGTTATGATGCATTATGTACAAAGAACTTTGACCAAGTGTTCAACATCAGGATGTCAGGCTTCGGTTTCTCAAAATTTCTAACCCTTTCACCACTATAGACCAAAATAGACTCATCCAGATCAATACATGGTAGTGTCTACTAAAGTTACATATGGGTGAAAGGGTTCAACTAAGATTATTTCTTTAACTTAAACTTCCCTATATGGAATGCCTTGCTGAAGTTTTGAAAAGTAATCTTCCATTTTAAAGTAATCTTCCATTTTTTATGTTAAAAAACACTGAGAAAGCCTGCCTAAACAATATGATCTCAATCCCATTATCACAGATCATGAAATTTCTGGTGAAAAAGTTTAAGTGATCCTTTCCATAACAGTTTCTTTTTCCATATTATGATTTTTGTTAACAGTCCAAATATCCTTTAGAATAAATTCAATGACAACAAAATAGTGTTTAATTAGTTAAGCTTCCATATTTAGTACATCACAAAGTTTTGTGACTATAGAACAACAGCTTGACATTAAATATGCTATAGAAAAATACGGTATGACTATCTACAAAATAGACTTCTCTGTTACAGGGTGAAAAACACTTGTGATCATCATTGTGCTGTGGATATACGTAGCATGTAGATACATCTACATTAAAATTGTAATATGAATTCTTAAATCAATTAAATCTGAATTTAATCAAAACTCCACATAACCTCAAGCATTGTTAACTATTTTCTGATACTTTTTTGAAGGGAGATAACTCCTGGTGCCAGCCCAGGGTGAAAAGCCATCAAAATTTGAAATGATAAAATAGTTTTTACAGAATGCTTACATACAGGATGTGACATACAGTGGTGCAATGGGTACACATATGGTATATTGGTGTTGAGAGGTAGAAGGAATACTAACGTTGATATGATATACAGATATTCAAATCAATATTTACTTATGACTATATACAGTTGAACAGTTCATCTTTTCAAGTTTAGCCACTCTTAGTTACTTTTACCAGCTAGTTTCCCTTCCTTCAATTCCAATGAAACAAAATATTTGATTTTGATTAAAAAAAATTGGGATCAGAAATGTCTTTCTTTCAAAATTACACTTTGGCAAGATTCTAATACATTGGGTGTGTACGTATCTAACAACAATATTACTAATATACCTACTTATATATCGATTTATATAATGATACAAAAGTATCTATATCACTATCTATTTCATATATCAAACATAGATTTTCAACACTATTTTATCACGGTTTCGTTCATTACCATTACAATACGGTGACCAGCTATCAACATGTACCCTCTATTGCTCAGAATGTTTTTCTCTCTCTGCATAACATAAATGTAAATACCGTGGCACCCAGATATGTTGTACGCAAAGTTATAGACACACACAAGTGAAATTATCTTATAACCATTGTTGTAAATTTTGAAAGTGCAAGGGTTTACTATTAAAGGAATCACATGGCGATAGAGGGTACATGGCTGGGACAGTGCTATCATCTCTATACTAATTAAGTACCTCGCTAAACACTAGTTAGAACTCACCAACATTAACAATCCTCAACACACAGATACAGATCTTTTTTTATAAATGTAACATGGAATGGTCACAAGTCAGATGAACATTGAAGATAAATGAGTATTATTACATTTGCTAGGACTCATTCCAACTGGAAGCTGAATTATCTCCCCTTATATATCATTATATAAAAAAAAGTTTATCAAATATGAACATCATGAAGTACATTGTATTTCAATTTGTGGTAAAATACGCTGTTGACTATTTTTCAATTTTTTGGTCTTGCATATATTATGAAAAAACTTTAAACACAAAATGTATCTTTTCATCTAGAAATTGAAGAAATGTCAAAAAGAACTATAAACTCCCTTTAGGGCAAAGCTGGAATAGCACATTTTCAGAAAATGTTTTTACCGGTCAAGTTAAGTGCATGATAAACATCAACCTATCAAATCTTTAGTACGGCAGTGCCATCACTTGTGGAACAGCATTACAACAAATTTACTCATGCAAAGTCTTTTTAATTCGTTTCTTTGTCATTTCTTAACATACTCCACAGGAGTCAGTTGTTTTTTCCATGAAATTTATGCACATGGATGTCTTACTTGTCTAACTACGAGTAAACTCTTTTTGATTAAAGATGAACCAGGGATGAGATAATAAATGATAAAAGTTTATAAATAATATTCAGAAACATCTGTACTTGTTAGAATTTACTTCATTCAAAACCTTCTGATTGAGGAAATGAAAAGAAATGTATTTAACCATTATTTTATTAAAAACATTCTTGTAGAATTCACAAGAAATTTTACTTGGACAAGTCTTAAATTTGAGTGAATTTACATTTTGACCCCCAACAGCCACTTAGAACCCGAGGTCTTTCCTTCTAAATGAAGCGAATGACTGGACTATAGTTGTTCCAATTATATCTAGGGACATCTCAGATTTGAATATTGAAAATACCTGACCTACGGAACCTCAATAACTTTATTGAAATCTGATAATCTTAATTAACCCTGGAATTCTGGACGTTTCAACACAATCAAGCCCATTCAAAGTCAGTGCTCTGCTAACGAGCTACGTTGGAAACAATCAATCCTTTCATCACCAATGATAAAACCACTTTGTGCAGGAATTAATGAAGCAATGTATCGTCACGTAATTTCAAATAACAAATTTCCTAGTATTAAAACTAATCTAGAAATTTGACATAATTCTGAAACTGAAATTTTCAGATTATAAACTATAAACTAATGGGGGGAAATTTCTAGTAAGAAGGGACATTTTTAGTTTCAAATACATCAACAAATCTGTGCCTAAATTACATATTCCATATCCTTTTTCTGTAACTTAAATGAGTACTTGTTTATTCATGGAAATTTAAGAGGACACAAAATTTTGGATAATTTGTGAATATTTATCATTATAAGGCATTGTTGTTGCAACAAAAAACTATTGGGGAGGAAATGTACTGCAGGGATTCGTTATAATTTTGTGAGCTTGTGTGTATTTCACAGACAACTGTGATCTCTGACATTGGAAAGGAGCTGCAGTCAGCACAGGTATCGGTGATGTGACGTCCATGAATCTTGCATAAAACTGTCTTCATTTCTCATTGTCTCTTTGTGCTGTTTCTGTTGATATATCAGCTCTATTTGTCCTGAATGAGTACCCACGGATCCGTAAGAGTATGTACTGTTGTGATCTGTGGGGCGTACGTCCCTGTCCACGTCCCGCGTTACGACAACTCTCTAGCATACTGTGCGGGGAAGAGACCTTCACAACCGTTTAGTTTTCTCCCCTTACACCATCCAAGCTCATCCTCCATCTTGATCTTGATAAATTTCTCACCTGGACAGAAATCACAAAATCATTTCACTGGGGTTGAGAAAGATCTCTGCCATAAAACCAACTTAATGCTCTATATCATCTTACATAATAAACTTGTTATTTTTGTTAGGAAGTTATCTCCCTTTTTTATTGATGTTGGTGGGGTTCGGGCAAAGGGAGAGTTGCCTCCCACCCCCTAATATTTTCATGCTTAAAATTCTACAGCTTCTGGAGGGATTCTCCTCCTTCTGAACAGCCTTACATGGGCATTCCAATCTGGACCCCTGGTTCAATTAGGCCTCAAGCAATGGCCTTAGGTTTGTATGAAAAATTATGATAAAGAAGGTGGGAATAATCCTTGAAAATTAAATGTGATGATATATTTGATGCACTGCTTTCACAGACATGGTGTTTTTCAAAAAAGTTTTTTTGTGATTCATATAGGATCGTACCAACCTAATGTCAGGGTGAGTTCGTCGTCATCCTCAGACTTCGGTATGTAGTCGTACAGAACCTCCATTTCTATATGACATTCTGCACCGTCTTCCTCATCCTCAAAGGGGTTAGGTGTGCTCGCAGTCTCTAACCTCACCTGCTCCGGGACGCTGATAAAGGGAAACAAACACATAAAAGATTTACACTGATGGTAATGTGAATAAAACATCTCAAAGATGTGAATAAAGTATCTCAAATATTTAGACTGATGGTAATGTGAATAAAGTATCTCAAAGATTTAGACTGATGGCAATGTGAATAAAGCATCTCAAATATTTAGACTGATGGTAATGTGAATAAAGTATCTCAAAGATTTAATCTGATGGTAATGTGAATACAGCATCTCAAAGATTCAGACTGATGGCAATGTGAATAAAGTATAAAGTAAATGAAATTTCATAATGGACTATTCGTTTGAATTGGAAGAATTCAAATGTGTCTTCAGGGGTGAATGAGTTAAAGACAGTATCACAGGAGTAATTACACCAACTTCAGAAGCATATACTACAGAGTTGAGTGATCCAGAAGCTGACAGTAGCAACTGAAGCTGGACAAGGTCCTTGTTCAACAAAAAAGTCAACTGAAGCTGGACAAGGTCCTTGTTCAACAAAAAAGTCAAATACTAACTCAAATTTATCAATAGCATGTTGTCTATATTACGCAAGCAAAAACATTCTGAAAATTGTATACAGACAGAAATAATTAATGTATAACCATTGTTTGTCAAATAGTTCGGTAAGTATCATAATTAATGCATATTAAAATACATCATACCATGTATAGTGGTGATCTAATATGCTATATCGGAGGTCAGAAATCAGGAAATTGTAGTACTCATGCAGGAATAGATCCAAACAGTTATTCAAGGCCTGAACTAGACATTAAATCTTAGATGTAATACTACCTAACATTGTTACTTGTGATCATATGCCCATGCATGGACAGCATAACCTAAGTTAGTTAATTAGTACTAAGATAGGGGTTACAGTTTAGCATCGTCATAACATCATTCTTTTGAATAAATGAAGAAGAAAAGCAATTAATCACATCTTGATGCTGAAGAGTCTGTTCAAATACAAAAAGTGCTTAAAATTCTCAAACAGCCACAGTCCACTGCAAGGTCTAGGGTGTCCAATCCACAGGGTCTTGAAATAACTGTGCAGTAGTGTTGTTTCAATAAATCAATCTAATCAATGATAAATAATTTTATCTTTGACTATGACTGACTTAACAAACAGTTTAACCTTAACTCAAGTCAAGTTTTACCATAAACTCTGATCAAAACAAATCCTGCCAAAAACTAGGTCTTAACAAAATTATTCATCACATTATACCCATTTTGGTGAATGCCTCTCAATTTATTTCCCTTTTATTTTATGATCGATCAATGATCAATCTTCGATCGTTTGAGAAATATTGACGACTGATCTTGAATTTTGAAGTGATTCTCAACACTACTGCACAGATGTTGTACATCTCAGAGCAAGCTTTAGTAAATCATCACTTATTAAACTGGTATATGAATGCGTGTGATGTAAAACAAAGAACATATGGACAGATAACTGTGTGAATTCACCATAAAGACTTCAATTTTTAAAGAAATTTCAATATAACCCTGTAATATTTAATTACAATGACATGGAGGATGAATAAGTTTGGTTCCAGATATGAACTCTATCTGTAAAATTGATATAAAGGGGGTGGGCTTATTACCGGTAAAACATAGGTATCAAATAGGTTTCTTAATTACTACATCATAATATCTTATATTTCTACTGAACTGTTACAGAAAGTGTACATAAGTTCTAATTGAAGTCGTTATTGTAGCAATTATGGTAGTGTATCGCATACATGTAAATGAGAATGTTCTAGAAATCTGTGGACAAAATACATAGGAGTGTAAATAGAGTTTATGGCAATACAAAGAATTACGGGAATAAACGATGTATATAGTGTAACAGTGATTACAGATAAAAATGTAGAAATTCAATACAGTGGGGTTTTAGGTAAGCAGATTTTTGTAATATATTTTTGTGAAAAAAAGGGATCCACAAATTTAATTAGGCTATATGACTGAAATGCTCTGAAGAAGAATAAATACATAAATATGTTATCTTTAAGACAATGTGATATGTGATCTATGTTCTTAACCCTTTCACCCCTATGAAACTTTAGTAGACTCTACCATGCATTGATCTGGATGAGTCCATTATAGTCTACAGTGTTTAAAGGGTTAACAGTATGTAATGGGAACATATTTACATCTTCTAGGCATGGCTACATAGTAAAACCACCTTATAATGCCATTCTTTTTATTGTCGCTTTGGACGATTGGGTCTCTCAAATCAAGAAAAAATAACTCTAAAAAGTCTCTCATTAATCCTTTTGTAACATTATAAACCATTGCCTAACCCAATAAAACACTGTATATCTACTGAATAAATGATGGCAATATAACCGGATCCTACTGCGATACACAATGTCAGCTAGGTCCTAATATTCATTAAAGTAAGTCGGTTTTCTAAGATAATGGTAGAATGGCTGACAGGCAAAGGAAGAATATCGTCATTATCATTTAAGGAGTCAAAAATAACCAGCAATCAAACTTGCAAATTGAAAATTTATAGAGAAAAGAAATTATCTTCGAAAATTGCATTTTATTTATGCAAAATGATTCCCCTTCAATACAAAGTGGCATGCCCCTGAAAATATTATCAATAAGACAATTTCACAAGTACTGTCAAGTACTGTTGTTTTGTTAGACTTGTACTGGGTTTGGAATAGGGTATGCATACAGTAGTTTTGGTGGTTATTTCATGAACTCCCAAAATATTGGAAACGTTAACATCATGGTATGATTATAGTTATTTATGCTCGTTATAACTAGAATCCACAGTTTGTTCGTAGCCATATGTTACACCATTCTTATGGACAAAAGACAACATGTTTACTGATTGGTCAATAACAAAGAGGTCAGTAGATTTCAAGAGGAACTCATCGGTCATTTCAGAGTTTACATTGCTGTATGATACATTTCCTGGACATTTCTGGAAATATTATCTTCATCAAAAATTTCATTTTTTTTTTACCAGACTTATGTCTGTGAACTTGAACATCAATGTTTGGAACAATCAATGACAGCTACCAAACTCACTTTTGCAGTTGAATCAGGGTTTTTTTAAAAGAAAAGTATCTTTCGACTCTTCTCATTAAAACGCGATCAACATTTTGTCTTCTGTGCAAAAACTAAATCAAAAATGCAATTAACATTCACTAAAAAGATGAACATTCGCAAATAAATAAAAATGCTTTATATATATATTCACAGATGAACTTCTTTCAATATTCAGCAAAACGTTATCCTTGAACTCACCCCTACAATTTTATACTGGACCTGCCCAGTCATTGATTTGGTAAGGTTCAAATGTGACTTTAGGGGTGAATGGACCAGCTAAACCTCATCATACTACTACAGCTTCTGGTAGGCCTGTTGATACTGTATCAACATAGTGCCTAAAGCTAGGGATCTATATTTTGTTTTTCCATTTTCTGATTTTTTTGATGTGTTAACTTGTAGCAATGCTTTCTTTCAGTATTACATGTAGTCATGTACTGAAAATTTGAAGTTCATATATAAATAATATGCAAACCTTAATTAAACATTCCAATTAAATTACTGAAAACATTCACAAAATGCAATAATAATAATAATAATATAACTAAGAGTGGGAGGTTCAACAGAAGATAACAAGCCCATTCTAAACAATGCCCTGATGCAATATATACAAATACAGGTCTAAACTGGTTACGTTTGTTTGGTTGGTGTTTTACTTGAGAGCCGATCTCCTCCCAAGTCTGTGTCATCATCATCATCTGAACCAAACGGATTTAATTTCTCGTCATAAGACTTTTTCCTGGTAGATTGGAAGCGAGAAATTGTCATTGCACAGGTGTTTTGTACATCGAAATTAATGAAGACATTTCGAAAAAATATTGATTGTTTAAAAATAAAAATAATAATATACAAGACGGTTTAAAGAACATAATTATCAAAATTGTGCCTAAAAACGAAATCCCTGTAAGGAAAAAATAACATTACCATACTACAACAGTAAAACAATATCTGACAGGAGTGAAATACAACACCACTACAAAACGGTTTCATTAAAATGAATAAATAAAATCATTAAACCAAAAACTGTATAGTTTCACTAACCACACAAATACAGAATCCAATATACATACATTGGTATCTGACTCCAAAAGTCAAACGGACTGCAAAAATAACTCAATTTTGTAAAGCCAGTCAACTTTGTTTAAGAGTTATCTCCCTTTGTTCATATATTAACAATGTTGCTCTACCTCTGTCACACAAATGTTTTACTTGGCTTGCACTAGTAGACTCTACTATACATTTATCTGGGTGAGTCCATTATAGTCTACAGTGGTGAAAGGGTTAAATGATGCCCAATTGTGGAAACAAGTAACTCCTATTAAAATGATTCAAATGATTTTTCTTTTTTTTTGAAATTTATATTAGCACCATCACGCTTTAGATAATGTACTGCTTATTGAAGTTTCTCATTGTACACTAAGTAAAAAGCCCTCCAAAGTGCGTGTGCTTAAAACAAATTTGTTTACATTAGTTCACATCTATTAGTGAATTAAAAATACCTAACTCCCAGGTCCAAAAAAAACGTTTTTCTTACTTTCTACCCATAAAAATTATAATTTTTCGCAGTCTCCCCACTACCTGTCCAATGCTTAACCCTTAACTCAAAACAAGAAATTTCCCATCCACCCATTCAACAATCACACTTCCAACTCAACCCGACATAACAGATGACACCCAAGTCTTAAAATTTCAGTTTTTCCTTTTTGTCCATCCATGACCATTACCATTTCCTTCGAAATCCCTTGACACCTGTCCAGTATATAGGTAACCCTTAATTTAAAACAATTGATTTCCCCCCACCCATCACATTTTCGAGTCCACCACCACACTTCAGTACTGACCTGCTGACGTCCACCTCGGCCCTCGTCTCCACCACATTGCTGCTGTAGCTGGATTCTTGCTGTGAGGGCACGGGTTGGTAGGTATCGTTGTGGGTATCACTGTGGGTGTTGGAGGTGTTGGAGGTGCGAGATGTTCGGGGCGACGAATTGTTGAAAGAGTTGGTGTCGGTTGAGGGTTGGTACACATCACCCTTGTGACGTATACTGGTGATCGTGATTCCGTCCCCGCCAAGCTGCGACTTCTTCTCCTTCTTGGATATGTTTGCCAGGTCGGGAGAGTATTCCTGTACACAGAATCATCAGTAATACATGTATATGTGTTTACTTTTTCACCCTTTCATATCAAAACTCGTCTTACCCAGTCATTGATTTGGTCAGGTTCAAAAGGGACTTTAGGGATGAAAGAGTTAGGTTCAAATGTGACTTTAGGAGTGATTGAGTTAAAGATAGAGAATTCCACTTGCAGGGTTATAAATTGGAGTTATACCCAATACTCCACTAATGGATCTACTCTGATCATAATCTCAAGAATGGAATATTCCTTTCACAAACAGGTATGAAATAGTCTTTTTCTCTCAAATTGGACCTTATAAATCATGTCAATTTATGGTGAGAAACTAATTCACTACATATCTCATTCTTGATAGAACCTAAATACTGACTTACAAGCAGGGATTGGGGCTAAAACTAGCTCCGTTATATTTTTGACGTTTTCTTCTTCACAATTTGGGTAAAATTATTATCTTTTATTTTTCATATTTATTTCAGTATAGTTCTACCAAATATATATGAAGCATTTTTATTTTCAAATTTCTAACTTTAGGAGCTGCATTACCTTATACAGACAAAATCATGGCTAGAAATACAAATTATTGAAGAGGTGGTCAATGTGAGATAAATGTAAAGTTGTAGGATACATCACAAAAAGACATGGTCCGTACCTCAAATGTGGGCCAATTCATGGGCATGTCAGCACCGCTCTTCTGAGACCACCAGGCTAGGTCACTGTCTGAATCCGCCTTACTGATCGTGTCGTGTAGATCTGAGTATAACTTGGAAAACCTACAACAGGTCATAGGAGGTTACAATGAGTTTATTTTAGACATAACACATTGCTTTTTCATGATTTATCTACATATACCATGTCTGATGTTTATAGCGAACGCCAATGGTGGCTGGGAGATGCTCCGAAAACTTAGACGGATGGACAAACACAAAACACACAAGGTGAATACTAAACATAATCTTTACTTCATTCCATTAAGGCAATAATAACATGGAGTTTATTAAGACCCCCTGCATACTAACAACCAGGCCAACAGTTTATATCAGTTCACATATTTTGTTTCATATTTGTGAAGATAAATAAAGTTTATATGTATCTAAAATAAATTCACCTACCTGGTAAATTACAGAACCCAGCAACCATGTATATATAAATTCATTGTTCCATGAAACAATTACAAAGTTCAGGATGTTTTCCAATAATTAACACGTACACCACAAAGAAGAGGGAAATTACATTAAGAGCCTAGGACTGTGGATCAATAGAAGGAAGTATCAACATTTATCAAAATAAATTTCCCGAGGCAGTGAAACAAACAATACACACTTCCACCAGCTGTCACGGAAATCATAAAAGGCAGTCAATTCAAAATTGAACTTCTTATAGTTCCTAGAAGCTGAACATTTTTATCCTCAGCTCTCATCCATATATATTTTTTGTAATTTTTGTACCATCTTCTTTCTGAATTACTATTGAACACTACAGGATTTTTAATGAAAGGTACCTACTTATTACATATACAAGGAAGGGCATTTCTAAAAACTCTGATAACATGGGCCACCTTGATGTCTAGGGACACAGGCAAGTCATATATAAGGGAGATAACTCATATAAATCTGTAAATTTACCTGGGTTCTGACGACAGGTCCAGACACTCGTGAAGCACAAACATTGTTTTCTTGAAAAATTCCATTCTTTCCCTCTCAAAGTTTTGGCATTTTTCAAATACCTAGTTAAAGATATAACAATTTTAGTCATTAACATGTTTACTACATAACCATGCTATACAAATGTAAATACGAATATGAAGACAACGGTAACGAGGTGTCTGCTGTCTCTAATGATCTCCCTTGTAGGTGTTAAGTATTATATCTCTTGCTTAAATAACACTGAACTGCTTTTCCTTGTATGTATATTCCTATATCACTAAGTGTATATAAATTGTTCTATAATAATTATTCAATTGATAAAATGATGTGAAGTTGTCTCACTTTGGTCTTCATAATGATTTTTCATTTATCGATATTTGATTTTTTGTCAATGAAATATATTGACATCAAAATATAACTGTCTATGCCTCTAATAAATTCCACTTAAATTATCTGCATTATTTGTACAGCTGAAGTTGATTCCCTATTTACTATTTCCCTTGACGACAGACAATATCTGAACCATTCAAAATCCATAATTAAATTTGCCTTCTTAAACTTCAGTTTATCTCCCTTGGTTGTTATCTCCCTTGTCCAGATATTTTACCTCATTCATGTCCTCTATATACTTTGCGTTGTAACCGTTTAGATCATTCAAGCAAGCTTCGTATTTATCCTTGGACTGTTCTACATCAGCCTGGTATTTTCGTAATTTATCTTGGATCTTTTTCAACTGAAAATATACAACATAATATTTATGATTAATGTTTATTGAAACTAAATGTCACAGTACTTGAACTGAACAAATATGCTGTATTGACAGTAAAAATTCTATTAGAAAATATTGGTTGTGCGAGCAAAAATGTTCAAATATGGCTTCAGAATTTGCTGAATTTGCAAATTAGTATTGTACACTTCTGATATGAACATGACTATAGAGTATATATGAGTTAATATTATCTTAATACAGCTTCACCTGAAAAAAACAGTCAATCAATTACTCTAAACACAGCTGTAATATCAAATCTCATTGGTATATTGATTAACTCTAATATTATTTAAGAAACTGTTTTATCAAATTTCTTTCTTTTATATATTTTTATTATATATGTATATATCAATTCCTTCACATGGACATTTAATCCTTTTTTATTACATATTTTACTATATACATACTATATATATATTTTTACTATATAGATATTTTGCCTGTGCCTTATGTATACACATATACATTGCATGAGCAATGTTTAACCGTTAATTATTTAAAGCAGTTAACAGCTGCTTTTGACAGAATGGAATGGAGGATGACTCAGCTACATTTCTAACAGCAACACCCAAGGTCTTTCAACCAGACGTGAGTTCGTCCGGTGCAGAATGTCACCGAAGCAAAAAATTCCTTCTGATCTTGCAGGGAAAATGTCAGGAAATGCCATAATATATTAATGTTTAGATAAATTGTCTACTACTTGGATAATAGCCGTGCCAGACTTCCCAAAAACAACATTTATGTTCAAGTTCAAGGAACGCTCTGTTACACACTGCAAACTTGTATTAGAGGACTAGAAATACAAAAATCTTCCAATATAGATATCCATGAAATATATACAACGATAAACAGCTTTTTAGAGTTTATGTGCAAAAAGGTTTACAGTGAAATGTTTATTTAATTTGTTCATTTTCTGTACTTTAAAATGCATTAAACTAAAGTAAAATCAGTCCACATGTAATTTAAGCATACCAGAAATAGTTTCATACAATAATATTTTTTTTTAAATGAGTCAACTTATCAATTGTCATCATAAAATCTAGTCAACTTTGAGATGTATACTGCCTTTTGTATATATTCTGTGACATGGAGACTTGAAGATGTATGCTACGGTATACATATTTATTACATACTTACTAATAAATACGGGGATTTTGTATATGCGATACGACACAATTGCTCTAACCCATATCAGCCCTCGCCGTATCACACCCCAAAACCCGTATCAGCCCGCAAAACCCATATCACACCCCTTTTGGAAAAAAAATCGTTTTTCAATATTTCAAAAATAAAAATAAAGCATAAGATAGTAGTTTTTATTAGTAATTATGTAATAAACAGAATAAAACACGCCTTTTTCCATATCACACCCAGTATCAATCCTCGACCAATATCAGACCTCCGGCCTTCGGCCCTTGGGCTGATATTGCAGTCTCGGGTGGATACTGGGTGTGATATGGAAAAAGGCATGTATTATTCTCTATATATTATGTGATATGGAGACTTAAGTATGTATGATACCTTATACATATATATTATGTGATATGGAGACTTAAGGATGTATGATACCTTATACATATATATTATGTGATATGGAGACTTAAGGATGTATGTTACCTTACTGTGACAAGGAGTCACCTAAGGATGTATTCTATCTACCTTACATATATATTCTGTGACAAGGAAACTTAAGGATGCATGCTACCTTACTCTGACATGGAGACATAAGGATGTATTGTAGCTACCTTACATATATATTCTGTGACAAGGACACTTAAGGATGTATGTTACCTTACTGTGACATCGATACTTCAGGATATATATACTACCTTACATATATTCTGTGACATTGAAACTTAAGGATGTATGCTACCTTACTGTGACATTGAATTGTTCAGGATGTATGCTACCTTACTGTGACATTGAATTGTTCAGGATGTATGCTACCTTACTGTGACATTGCATTGTTAAGGATGTATGCTACCTTACTGTGACATTGCATTGTTAAGGATGTATGCTACCTTACTGTGAGCTGTATTTCCTACACAGAAGAGTTCCACATTAACTGTAAAGTATTTTCTATATATGTTAATTTTGACCGGTTTAAGACCTGCATTAGGTTTAATTTTGGGTGACTTTTATTAATGTATATGGACATCTATAAAACCACTTGTCAAATAAGATAAATGTTAGCTTCAATTCACAAGGTCTTTATTCACAAAAATTATTATACCTGTCTAAAATGACCACTTATGGAGACCATGTCCAGTTTTTAATTCTCAGTTGGGTGACCTAATATAGCAAATTATATATACAGTGGTACCTATCTAAAAAGCATCTATTAAAACCTAATCAGCCTTTATTCTAACTTACATTGGGTGGTCTTAATTGACAGAGTTTCTTGGAACTGCAACAATACCATACTGATACATATTGAGTTTTGTAAAACAAAACAAAAACAAAAAATATTATGTAGTTATACAACTTCGATTTTGTCAATTTTGCTGTACATATACCTATATTATGTATACATGCTACTTTAAAAGACAATAGCAGACATCGCGATTCCACATTTAAAATTTTCTGGGGAGAATTTATTAACACCATAAAGTCTGTTATAGTATAAACACCACACACAGCTGTTGTGTTTACTTACACTACCTACAACAGGAAAGTCTGATTATGATCACATGCTGCACATGCTGATGTTTAAACCTGATGACAAATGTGTCTGTAAATACATCCTGCTGTGTGCAGGCCCCTAAGCTCTGTGATATTAACATCACGCTCTGTAATAAGCCCACCCCTTTTTTGAACAGATTTTTACACTTTTAGGTTTACTGCAGAGAAACTCAATTGTAAGTTGCAAGTTTATAATAAAGTGTATATAAGAAGTTCCATTGCAACCTTATGGGCCCCCTACTTCCTGGATCCACCATAGTGATGTCGCTGGATACAAATGTATACATACTTAGTGTTGGCACTAGTCTTCTTACAATCAGCTCAGATCATGAGCAGATAATAGCATTAATATCATCTACATTATTGTATGTATTGTAATTAAGTCATGGTTTTATTATATATAAGTACATGTCTACATGTTTCAACATTTGACGTTTAAACTTGTTAAGAACCTACAGCTAATACACAGGAAGTGTTTCTGGATCATTGCATAAGAATTTGGTAATTATTGTGCTGTAAATGTTTGTCTGAATGGAATGTTTTTTTCTCACCTATTTAGCTTTGGCGTATTTTTATACAACATACTTGCATCAGGTTCAGGGAGAGCAGAGGAGGAGTAGGGTGGGTCTAGTGGGTGACTGGGATGGAAGAATGGTGGGTATAGTTGGGTTGCAATGAGGGGTGCATGGGTGTGTGCTGGGACTATCAGGTTTCAGGTGGAAGGTAAACAGACCAAGGTTGACACAACATAGTGTGGTCAGGTGTGGGAGTGTCTGAGTGTTTGTGTATGCTGTGGTGGGAGGTTGAATAGTCAGGTGTGGGGTGGGGTGTAATGGTCGGGTGTGGGAGAGTCTGAGTGTTTGTGTATGCTGGGGTGGGATGTTGAATAGTCAGGTGTGGGGTGGGGTAGTGGTCAGGGGTGGGAGGGTCTGAGTGTTTGTGTATGCTGTGGGGGGATGTTGCATAGTCAGGTGTGGGGTGGGGTAATGGTCAGGTTTGGGAGAGTCTGAGTGTTTGTGTATGCTGGGGTGGGATGTTGAATAGTCAGGTGTGGGTTGGGGTAATGGTCAGGTGTGGGAGTGTCTGAGTGGTTGTGTATGCTGTGGTGGGATGTTGAATAGTCAGGTGTGGGGTGTGGTAATGGTCAGGTGTGGGAGTGTCTGAGTGGTTGTGTATGCTGTGGTGGGATGTTGCATAGTCAGGGGTGGGGGGGGGTATTGTCAGGTGTGGGAGTGTCTGAGTGTTTGGGTATGCTGTGGTGGGATGTTGGATAGTCAGGTGTGGGGTGGGGTATTGTCAGGTGTGGGAGTGCCTCAGTGTTTGTGTATGCTGTGGTGGGATTTTGCATAGTCAGGTGTGGGGTGGGGTATTGTCAGGTGTGGGAGTGTCTGAGTGTTTGGGTATGCTGTGGTGGGATGTTGGATAGTCAGGTGTGGGGTGGGGTATTGTCAGGTGTGGGAGTGCCTCAGTGTTTGTGTATGCTGTGGTGGGATGTAGCATAGTCAGGTGTGGGGTGGGGTATTGTCAGGTGTGGGAGTGCCTCAGTGTTTGTGTATGCTGTGGTGGGATTTTGCATAGTCAGGTGTGGGGTGGGGTAATGGTCAGGTGTGGGAGGGTCTGAGTGTTTGTGTATGCTGTGGTGGGATTTTGCATAGTCAGGTGTGGGGTGGGGTATTGGTCAGGTGTGGGAGAGTCTGAGTGTTTGGGTATGCTGTGGTGGGATGTTGGATAGTCAGGTGTGGGGTGGGGTATTGTCAGGTGTGGGAGTGCCTCAGTGTTTGTGTATGCTGTGGTGGGATGTAGCATAGTCAGGTGTGGGGTGGGGTAATGGTCAGTTGTGGGATAGTCTGAGTGTTTGTGTATGCTGTGGTGGGTTGTTGAATAGTCAGGTGTGGGGTGGGGTGTAATGGTCAGGTGTGTGAGTGTCAGTGTGCTGGGGTAGGGTAATGATAAGGTGTGGGGGTGTCAGTATGCTGGGTTGGGGTAATGGTCATGTGTGGGAGTGTCAGTATGTTGGGGTGGGGTAATGGTCATGTGTGGGAGTGTCAGTGTACATGTGCTGTGGTGTGATGTGGAATGGTCAGGTGTGGGATTGTGCTGAGGTAGGTTTGGGTGGGTTGTGATTAGGTGTGGGGGGGTGTTTGAAAGATGTAGGGTTGTGCTGGTGATATTTGACATACTCATGATATAAACTTGAAGTAAACTAGAAAGGACAATAAAGACAATACCAGTTTGACAACATTTGTTAGATTTTAACCAACAATATAGGTGTGTGTATAAGTATTGTGAAAGTGCAATAAAAACAGAAGGTAGCTGTTTGAAGTCCACAATGATTTCTGAACTTTCTCACAGCTGTGAACTACTGCAACAGCTGTAAAACAATGACTGATCGGTGTGGAAAAAAGATACATGTTATTGCATTTTGATTGGTTAAAATAGGATGCATGATCTGATTGGCTGATTAATAATTGATAACGAAATGAGATAACAAAGGTATGAAATTAAAACAGGAAGTGTATCACCTGTTTCGTGTATAATTTCCAATAGATTTCCTAAAGGGTTGATGAATGTGAGGTCTGACAGATAACTTAAATATTTTCCATTTTTTTGAAAATAAGTTATGTTTTTAAATGACCAATTGTTGATGTGAAAATGACTTCATGACTTCTATGATTATTTTTTTTATTTCAATAATTGTATTTTGTTGATATTTTACATTTGTTAAGCATAGAAATTGATCTCTTAAAATAAACTTGATATAAATATTGAATGAACAAAGCCTACAATGTGTACTAGGTATAATCAGCAATGTGGACATTCAACCCAAAAGTTTAGAATTTGGATCAGAAGCGAGTCTTTGCCTGCGAGTCTTTGCCTGCTCCCGTACCTGTGAACCTCATGCCTTCAGTTGGGACCTATCTCTGGCTGTATATGATGAACAAACTTTCCTCGCTTTATCATTAAATCCTAAAGAAACTAGAAGATACCCACAGGAAGTTATCACATGCATGCACTTTAAAGATGATAACTGCACCAAGACCCATAGAATACATCAAAACACTTGGCCTCCGACCTGTCTGCTTAAAATCTGTTTAAACACAATAATCTGTAAACCTATACTGCTAAGCTTGCAGGGATATATGTTTCTTTCCGTATAAGGTAAAACCCTAGTGCAAACTATTATTGATTGGTCAGATATCTCCTAAAGCCACACACAAGTGTGCCTGATTATACATCCTATAGGTCCTGTAAGAGGAAATCATGTTCTCCCTGAGGCAGGAAACATTTATTTGGAGCTGCACGGCCGAATTGATCATGTTTCAATCTAGTGATCTGGTGTAGGGGGAGAAAGCGGACTCCAGCATACACCATCAGTCCACTTGAGTAGCCAGCTGATGTACGAGATCAATAGCCTAACTTACAAGAAGGAAGAAGATGAATAGCATATACTACGGCGATATTGCGGTCATTTATACAACGTTCACATAACATTGTATCCCACAGCCTACACACAAAAAGGTCCCCGTCAGTATCTATGTTTTATAGCCGAGATAAACAAAGCTTGATATAGTGGCCACTAACAATGCACACATCAAGATTAATAAACGAAATCATTCATAACTTCGGTCAAATTGTCCGTGTTCTTGGGATCTATATCGGTTACTATAATGAATGTTCCCCTCAAGGTTTAGATGAATATAATATATATGATTTCTGTAATGAATTCCTCCCACAGGTTTTTTTAATGGATACAAGCTGATTAATTAATTATTTACATCTCTCATTTCAAACTCATCGTAGCCAGCTGAAAATTTGGTAATACAATCCTCAAAGGAATAAATTTGTAAATTGAAAACTATATCTGAAACGACAACGTGTCCTGTAAGTTCTTCTATGTCCTTGGCTTGACCTAATCAACAAGCACACATACAATTACTACATCATGAATATATAAATGTACATATACTGATGTAGAGTCGATGCTGCCGAGATCATCAACACGGTCCATGGAGGCTAATTATTGAGACTATAAGGCAAACAATCTCTGACTTTTTCTATTCCAATATCACTAAAGACAAAAGATGCTGAGTGCCATGAAAACACACATGTGACCTTCAAATTCATCCTCACACTTGCCAACCTCTGTGCCATTAACACCAACTCACATAAAACAGACGTTTTCAAAGTCCTGAATGGCTCATAAATTCAGAGCGAAATGTTCAAACTTGTCACATGATGTTTTTTCAGTTGAAAATCAGCAGTTTAGTCTGTAGAATTTTGAAAGAAATCAGGTGTGATGTTTTCAAATAATATAAATCAATTCTTTTTTTCTATTTTGCAGAAAATTTTCCACACTTTCTGCAGATATTTTGCATGTACACTCTGTAGAACATTTCAGTTAACATTGCACAGGACTTCCCGTTATTTTCACCACCAAATTCTACAGATTGTCATTAACACTGTCAATTCACTGCAGGCGTTAATTGTTTCAGTAGGAAACAATACTGTATCAGGGATTTTTTTTAACTCTATTTCATTGTTTGATAAACCAGCCTTAACATTTACATACTGAACATAAATATGTATAGACTTGCGATGCAATCAAATACATACATTTCAGCATTGCTGATGCAATAATTTCCACATGCACACTGCAAAAGGTTTGAACAGTCGAAATCAATCATAAAAAACTTCTACATGCAAAAGATAGTCATTCAACATTATTTGAATTAATCAATGTGACATTCTAACACAGTCAAAATATAAAGCTGAAGACCTTTGCATAATTTTAGCACAAATTCCAACATGTGTAAACTTATGTAAGATTTCTTTCTTAACATTAAAAGATGCCTGTTATTTTTACAGATACATTCAAGACTTTTAATCGAGGTTTTTCAAAATTCATTACCACAATTAATTAATAAATGTGAAAGTCTAAATATTATCATAATACAAGAATTTTTTTTAAGAAATATTACTAAAACTAAACACAATAGGGAAGGTTTTAGAGACAAAATTCCTTAAAATGACAGCAAAATAAGGATATAAAAAAACTACAAACTCTGGGCATACATATAAAATGTATCAAATTAATTCATTAACAGACTAATAATCATCAACAACTATTATACAGAGAAAGCCATGCATTCATTCATGATCAGTGTAAAATGATCAGTTTTATTATTATTTCAGTCACATTCCAAAATAATTCTAAAAGATCAACAAGCTTTATAAAAACAACACAGTGGAATGTTACGACCAATCTCAAATTCATCTGGGCTTTTTTCCGTTAATTTTAACAAATTGACATGCAAACTGTCTGTCAACAAACTACTTACAGTGTTGTGGTCTACTGTTTTCTAAAAGTATATAAGGCATTCAGATTTTACTACATATTTTTGTGATAGAATAAAATGAAACAAATACTATTGCTTAGTCTGAGGTCTATATATCAATGGGAAAACAAAACTCCCTTACACATACTCATGGCAATCCAAAATACACATACAAATTGTCATTTTAACAAGATAAATTGTTCCTAACTCATTTGATAGTTTGCATCTTTATCATTGTAACAGCCAATTATGGTTATAGAAGACACCTTGTTCACAGATGATTGGTTCTGACCATGACAGCCTCCTTTAAAGTGTTGTCCCACTGTAATGTCATACCTGGACATGATGGTAGCATAAATATTAACATACAGCAAGTACCTAACAAAATGTGTATCTTGCATCTAAGAATTCTTGTTTGCCTATCCTTATTTCTGAAGTAAGCGTTCTCTGTATAGCCATCGTAGTATACTCCTTACTAAATCTGAGAGAGCTTCCTCTGTAGCATTTTCCTTACTTCTGAGGTAAGCATTCTCTGTAGTGTTCTTAAGTTCAGCCTGCTTTTACTTCTGAAATAAGTTTGCTCTGTAGCAGCCGTAGCATAGATACACTTTACTTATGAATGAAGCCTCCTCTGTAGTGGTCTATCCTGCTCTTATTAAGTAATCACCCTCTGTAATGGTCTATCCTGCTCTTATTAAGTAATCACCCTGTGTAGTGGTCTATCCTGTTCTTATGAAGTAATCACCCTCTGTAGTGGTCTATCCTGCTCTTATTGAGTAATCACCCTCTGTAGTGGTCTATCCTGCTCTTATAATGAAGTAATCACACTCTGTAGTGGTCTATCCTGCTCTTATAATGAAGTAATCACCCTCTGTAGTGGTCTATCCTGCTCTTATTAAGTAGTCACCCTCTGTAGTGGTCTATCCTGCTCTTATAATGAAGTCATCACCCTCTGTGGTGGTCTATCCTGCTCTTATTGAGTAATCACCCTCCGTAGTGGTCTATCCTGCTCTTATAATGAAGTAATCGCCCTCTGTGGTGGTCTATCTTGCTCTTATAATGAAGTAATCATCATCTGTAGTGGTCTATCCTGCTCTTATTAAGTAATCACCCTCTGTAATGGTCTATCCTGCTCTTATTAAGTAATCACCCTGTGTAGTGGTCTATCCTGTTCTTATGAAGTAATCACCCTCTGTAGTGGTCTATCCTGCTCTTATTAAGTAATCATCCTCTGTAGTGGTCTATCCTTCTCTTATGAAGTTATCACCCTCTGTAGTGGTCTATCCTGTTCTTATGAAGTAATCACACTCTGTAGTGGTCTATCCTGCTCTTATTAAGTAATCACCCTCTGTAGTGGTCTATAGCCCACTCTTATGTATCTGACGTTTAGCATCTTCTGTTACTTCTGAGGTGCATGGAAGCGTCCTCTGTAGCAGGTCCTTTTGATGTGCATTAGTTTTTTTACGCATTAATAGGTTTTTAACCAAAAAAAACACCCCTCACGGAACTGTTACGAGAAAATAACAATATAAAATATGCAAAATATATTCAACAGCAGTGTTGTAAATGGGGAAAAAATCAGCGGGACAACCGGGATTTGAACCCTAGACTTCAAATTGGTATACTGTCCCTCTAACCAATTGAGCTACCTGCAAACAGAGGTATCTTGGACCAACTGTGCTAAAGTTGTATGAAAACAGAAGTTAAGGGGAGGTCACTGTGTATAGGACAAACCACTATGCAGTGGGACAGCTAGGGGTCCTAAGTCCTGATATTTGCTGGTCATGAATTGTAACTCACACCTGAGTTAACGAATTAGAAATCAAAACTGGCATCTTCTCAGATTTCAACTCCTTTTATACAGCCAAGGTTAAGCTGGGGCCGATCCCCAGGGATAACGCCCAAAAGTGTATCAAAGCCTTATAATAGTACATTGTTCACCTGGTCAGTCAGTGGCACGTCCTGAATGAAGTGGTCAGTTTAAATTCAGTGTGGTGGACGTGAGTCTTGGGTATACACGTAACTTAAATTCCTTACTGGTCGAGGGTTACTAACAATAGATGTTCAGCGGATCACAGACCAGTCTTTCCACCTGTGTGGTTGTACCTTTAATATACTGGGGTTATAAATACACACAGCATACTTACAGCTGATTTACTTTCCATCCAAGATGGGTTCCCACTACTTTCCTGTATTTTTTAGAATTACAGATGTGTTATTCTTAATGTAATAAAATTATAAAACAGATAAATAAAATACAAATTATAGGATACAACTTTTTTCCTGTTTTAATATGCTTGGAAATCCTCTCATGATGAACTACACAGATATAAGTTTACAAGTGGCAAAATGTTGTTATGTATAGTACAGGATTGGTATACTTTTAAACTAAAGGTTTCTCAGCTTTTACTTTGCAATTTGACCTTTTCCATAAAATGACTGAGCTGTATAGAGGGTAAGACTGGTGATAGTGGTATCACTAAATGCAGCAACCCATGACAACAATCAGAAAGTTGTAAAACTTTTGCTTTATTACTTTTGCATTTATCTTTGGAATTTTCTTTCACTGGTGATGTTTTAGTACAGTATACTCCCTCAGTACTTCTATGATACTGGTAGAACAACCGAAATATGTGTTATTACTACAAAGCAGTGTGGACCTATCTTTACCCAGTGTGGACCTATCTTTACCCAGTGTGGACCCATCTTTACCCAGTGTGGACCCATCTTTACCCAGTGCGGACCTATCTTTACCCAGGTTAAAGATCAAACTAAACACAACTTTCACCATAACCAATATTCTTCTCTATCAGACAATCCTAGGGGTTAAACTTAATCCTACCAGGGGATAAAAAAGCACACACTCGTATTCCAAAATTGGACCATATATACAACCGTGTGGAGAAAAGGATTACTTCAAATCTTTTGTTAAATTGTTTATCACAGCTGTGATATTTGAAGGAGGGAACTAAACACATATAATATCAAACCAACCTTAATGCAAGTGAAATACAGTTAAATTCATTCGTTTTTGGGAAGCTCACTAATGAAGCTCACTAATGCAGTTCATTAAATTCATCCTTCTATTCTCATTCATCCATATCTTAATCATTGTACCTGCCTGGCCACCCTAGTCATATGTACTGTACCGGAGGACACAATACCTTCGTCTCCCCTGGATAGTAAATATTATATATAACCATTACATCCTGGCTCTCTATCTAAAAAGTAGCTGTGTTTATTTCCTCACCAGCGTAGTCTTTAAATCATTGAGCCTCACTTTCTATCTAATAAGTACTGAGTTTATCTCGTGACCCAGGTATAGATCACACAGGTTATTTCCAGCTCTTTATCATCATCTGAAGTTAAAGGTATATATATCTGTAAATGTATATGTATTTTGACTGTATACAGCACCAGTAAGTAATGAAGCTATTATGTGCCACAAAAAACTGTCAACTTTAATCATTACATGAACACAAGCCACATTAACGAAATGAATATTTTAAACTAACATTACCCCCAAAGTGATAGGTGTCACAGCTGTGTGTTAAATAAAATTAGGTTGATTTCCAGGTATAAAATCTAGGTCAGTGAAATCAACAGTACAGGCATACACAAGTTTAATCCTCTACCTCGTCGTAAGCAAATGGAAGTGTATAATACAACTATAAATACACATGTACATTGTTGGCTAATGGATGGGAATAACATCAATTCGTTTTTTAGAAAAGAAAGACCTGCCGATCGAGATTTCCCTACTCTTACCGTACAGACCTTAAATACCTGAATCTTTATACAGGTAAATCACAATGTGGTCATCGAGGCGAATCGTGAAGATCTGTTTTCTGGTGAGATTCAGGTCATTTTATGGGCAACGGAGGAAATAAAACTCAGCGCATTTAACATCACAAACCTTTCAGAAATATTTTTAGGATTGGCAATGCTCCCGAATACCTCTCTACCAGAAATACAAAAATGTTTAAATAACATTTGTCAGAATTACAAATTTCACTTTTTCTATTTCTCTTCGTTTTTTGAAATGGTAATTTACATATATAACAACATGGAAATATATTATGTACATAGCAATGTTTATGAATATATTACATCTATAAACATTCCTATGGTGTGTGTAGTGTTAAAGCCCCTCTGTTTATTTGTACAATCCCAATGTGTGCACCTATACCTGCACTTAGCCACGCCCCGTTCTACCGGTATTTCGTACCGGATGTGGATTGACTTGCCAATTCCAAGCTTCAATACAGATAACTGTATCTATAGACTGAAGCATATACTTCACTTGTGAATTTATCTACGAGTGTATCAACATACCTAGTTGTCTAGGACAGAAACTATCAGAACATGCTATAGCTACAGTATATAGCTGCACGTAGTCAACCTGACCCATTAGTCTGTATGGTACCCAAGATAAGATCAGGCTCCGAATAAGCCCACCCTCTTCTTCAACAAACCTTACTGATAAGTGTCGTAAATACAACAGATGGAAAGGCTAATACAGGTATAAAGTCAAGATCTCAAAGTTATTTTTTTTAATCTTTTCTATGTGAAAAATAACAAGTCTGCATTGCACTAAAATTCTGAAAAAGGTTGAAATTATTTTTAAACAAGAGGCCCATGGGCCTTAACGGTCACCTGAGTCTACAGTATTTTTTTTTTTGTTGAAATATGTACCAATTTGAGTAAAAAATAGTATAATGTTAACTTAACTTTGTCAGGACCATGAGCTGATCATTCCTAGACCAATTTTAAGTGAGATCGGCCTATTAGAATTTAGTAGCAAAATAGCGGCCATGGCAGCCAAATTGTATTTCTGATTGACCCGAAAAATAACAACACTTTGTCAGGACCATGAGTCGATCATTCCTACAAAGTTTCAGTTCAATCGGCCAAGTAGATCTTTACTTTAAGTTTGAAATAGTTTACCAAAATGGCAGCTGTGGTGGCCATATTGGATTTCTGATCGACCTGAAAAATAACAACACTTTGTCAGGACCATGAGT